CTTAATTTTACCTCCACTGCCTTTCCCTCTTTCAGTTCTGTCTCCATTTCTTTCTTCTTGTTAAAGGTTTCTTAATACTGATGCCTACTACTTATTCTAGATTTAGGTAGGTCCAGGTAGGAATTTCCTGTTAAACCAGTTTGTTCTTCTTGGAGAGGAGTGGACATCCAGGTTGGCATTCACCAAATCACATGAATTCAAGTTACATTTTTCTCTTAGTCCTGTCTCAGTATAGAAGAAACATTGAACCAGCTCCAATCTAGCAACCACCTGAGCATGGCAAAAGCCACTCCCTTACAAATGCCACTCTGATCTCTTAAATGACTCTTTATGCCCCATATAACAGGAGTCAATTTTAAGAAAAAACTTAACTCTGCAATAGGAAGATGAGATAAAATCCTTAATGCCAGCTTTTCATACCTTGGTTCTGTGCCACTGTGAATGCATTCAGGGCTGGAGCATGTTAGCATGCACACTTCTGGGCTTGATAGGATCCAAGATTGAAACACCTATACACATAAGGAAGCCAATTTCCTGGCAAGAAAATAAAACTGATACAAAGCACACAAAGGACCCCAATATCAGCAAGAATGTCACCAGCAGTGCAATACATTAAAGAAGATCATTGCAACAAATCAAGTTCCTAAGCGTGACTTTCCCTTTCACGTAGAGAATGGACTGATTCGTTCCCCAAACAATGGAAAACTTTGTGGAGGCTCTGGAACAGATTGCTCTTTTTGGCTCCATTACTCACAGATCAGCTTGCCACATTCAGCAACAAATGCAAGGGCTAAAACACATCTTATTTGTTGTCCACAGTTTATGAAAAAATAATCTAGCTCATAGGAAATGAGGTGCTTCAAGAATTTGCTGAAGTGAAAGCAATTCTGTCAGCATGGAATCAGCTTCAATATGACTCATCTGATCTGTACACTACTATGTTATGCTACATTGATCCATCTAGGAATAACTGTGAAGACTCTACCAGATTTTTTTACTACTAGGAAAAATGCACTGAACCTGTGCTGGCTGTGCTTTGACTTGAGTCACAGATGGCAATAGGACACTGCCATTGCATTTTGTGGGCATGGGCAGGGCTGTTGTTTTACACATTGCTGGCACTTCAGTGAACAGTAGTCCTATGTCCTGAGAGGACAGCAAGATTTCTGCACACATAGCATTTCCTTCCATCCATGTCCATACCCATTTTTGATAACTTTTTGTCTGCCACCACTTGGCACTGGTAAAGCATCATCTAAGCATGTAAAAGCAAAGGAAACAACATATTGTATGTAAGCCATTCAGAACTGTCAGCATCTAACACTAATGCTTTCTGACTAACAGCTTTAGGAATCCTTCAAAAGGTCAACAAATGGCTCAGGGCTGTCTGAAACTCCAAGAGAAATATCTCCAAAGCCTAGCACACAACATCCTACCGGGAGCCACATTTGACTCCCTCCCACCACGGAACCTACAGCCAGTAGTGTGAACATGGCAGCCGGTGCTCTGCAAGGAGAGCCCACATCAGCTGCTCTGTGCAGATACTCCCACACAAAAAGAGATTTGTTTTCACAACACCATTCAGAGTGGGAGATTTCAGGCTCCCAAAGACCAACCCAGTCTACATATTGTTTCAATAGCACTGGAGAGACTAAAGAAAGATCACCCATAAGACACTGCCCTGTCCCCAAAAGATTTTAGTGAAATTTTGTGCCTAGGAAAAGCTGTACATATAAAGAGATCATTTGTCAACCTGCTTTGGAAAAAGGCATAATAAAATGGGATGTTCACTTTGATTAGAAGAATAAGTCTTACAGAGACAAGTTCTGAGGCTCTCAGCGTAATCCTAGCAAAAATTCCATTGTAATCCATGTTTTTATTCAGAAGAACATTTCATTATTAATACATCAGATTTTGCTTTTATCTGACTTGTGCTCAGTGATTATAACACAGACATAGTGTTTGCATATGAAAGAGCAAGAAAGGACTGAGGGCTATAGTCTATAGAGAAAGACATGAGGATGGATGAATGTTTGGCTTGATAAATAATATTAGAAGTAATTATTTTTAAAAGTATTCAGGTGCATCTCATTTTGTTTCTGTGTAACTAAAAAGGAGGCAACTGATTTGCAACCTAGGATTTGAAACAACTGATAAAAAGCAAAAGAATAATTTTTGATGAAGTGCTTGTTCAACAGCTGCAGCATCACCCAGTACCTATTGGGCAAGTGCCAGGCTACCTGCTCAATGTCTGGAGATTGATAACTGTTCAGAATTTGATGAATGGCGTATTGAGAAAGTAGACAAACAGGCCTAGGGATTATAGCTTTAAAATAAAAAAGTGCAAGTTTTCAGTTAATTAAGACAGTGATTATCAGTCTTCTGCATTACTTATTTGTTATTTTAAGGTTTCTCTGAAAAAAAAAAGAAAAGGTTCTGAAAGCATCCTGGCCCACTGATAGCTTTCTTGAAAAGAATTTGAATCCAAAGTCTCAGCACTTCTCAATTTTTCTACTGGAGAACACCAGCAGAATTTCATCAAACAAGGTGCTTGAATTTGCCAGTATTAACTCATTCTTTGCTTCCATAATCTTTTTGTTTTCAGTATTGTCAAATAACATCGGTGCAGAATGAGATGTAGGATTCTAAAAGCCAGTTTCCTCTGTTACAGCAAGTGTTATCCCTGGGGTCAAGGATTGTCTGAATCAATAACACACCAATCTCAGTAGCCCCATTTAAATGGTGAGTCAGTTCACATAATCCAACCACATGTCAGATGAAAAAGAATGGTTTAGCAAACACTTTGCAGTCATCTGGTTTTTAGAACTTAGTAGTAAATTACTGGATATCAGTCTACTACTGCAACTATATATCTTTACACAATAGCAATTTTTCTTAGCGTTTTCTACTGCTCAGCTGCTTATTCAGTATTTTTATATACCCTATATTTATTTTCAAATACCATTTTAAAATCCTCACTGTAATTTTTCAATCTACAGAAGTTTTAAGGGACTATGACAGTTCACAAGAGCATTTCTCAGGCAAGGAAAGCTGATACAAAGTTTTGCTATCCCACTAATTCAGAGCACAAAATGATATCTCTGGGCCACTTCTAATTTACAAACAGCCTTTTCCTCCCATGACAACTGCATTCAATTGGGCTGTCCTAGACATGCATGCTTCTGTTGGGAGTTTTGATATATACACTGGTTAAATTAAATATAATTAATATATATATATATCTAATATAAATATTAGATATTTTCTATCAATTAAAAAAATAACCTAATTGTATAATTAAGCCTCCTCAACACCAAGAGCAGATGAGTAAGACTGGCCACAGGGGCACAAGGTGGAGTTGGAGCCCCAGCAGCACTCCATGGAAAAATACCTGGGAACTGTCAGGAGGGGACCTTGAACTAGAGAGGTCCCCCCAAAACATCCTGCCCTCTAGCAAGGAAAAAGGGACCATGAGCAGCCAGGCACCCCCACCAGGCACAGACCTGAATAGCCAAGCTCCCTGCCTCTGCACCTGCTCTTGGACATGGCCACACTCACATAGCCCACAGACAGCCACTTAAAGCTCTATTGCTGCTCAAGTGAGTGGTATGTTAAAATTAGTAGCAGGTGGGGAAGGAAACAAACCAAAATATTTGATAGATAAACCTTTTTTCTAGAGAAAGCCCAAACTCTGCCTAGTGGGCTAGGAGTCTTCTATACAAGACAAAAAAAAAAAAAAAAAATCACAAAAAATGTCTAAAGCAGAGCAAAAAAGATTCCCCGATATCATGAAAAAGACATTATAAGACATTATCTAAACCTACTTGTATAACTTTCGCTTTCATGTTTTCTTTGGGATTACACAAAAAAAGATTGCCAATACTTCATTTAGATATTTGTTGATTACACAAATCCAGAAAAGCAGTTGGTGAACAGAATGAAAAAAACAAACACTTTTTTCAGAAGATTCTATATGGGGTATGGATTTTAAAATTTCCTCAGTGATCACTCAGATGTACACAGGAATTTTATTAACACTTCCAACGCTCTAGGACAGAAACCCTTACACTTGGACCAGAGCAAGAGAATCAATAGTCTCAGCCAACACACGGAGGTCAGATTTGGCCTTGAGCAGCCAAGGAGCTGCAGCTGCATTGCTGCAAACAGCAGGCAGGAAAGCAGTGCAGGGGTCAGCAGCCCCTGTGCGCAGGGCTGGTGCTGCTGGGAGCGAGCTCTCTCCCATGGCACATTGTGTGATGGCAGGCTTTCAATAGGTAGCATACACACGACAGCAGACTTTCTTCTGCTTACCTTCTGAGGTGTAGGAAAACCAAATTGCTTCTTAGAATTGAAGAAATTTAGTCAGCCACCATAGAGGGACTTTAAATGAAAGACAATTGCAAATCAGTGCTGGCTCTCAAAACGCGCATTGCAGCACACACCATGACACCGGACATCTGAAGAACTGCTGCTTTTTACAGGGGTTTTCTCAGCAGAAAGGGAAAGGCAAGCTAAAATTAATACTGTGCTTTTTTTCCAAGTAGCTGATTTTACAGGAACATGAAACATTATGGGAAGCAGTCAATAAGTAAGTTACTGCTTCCCTGTCAAAACTTGCCAGCAATGGAATATATTGTGGCACACTGTCTCAAGCAGAGGGATTCCAAAACTGACATTAAATACAATGCAGATGTTATTTCACCTAGTGATGAATATTAGGTGAAACATGGCACAAACATCAAACCATTAGATTTTTCAAAGTTGCACAGGAGTTACCACTGCTGCCCTGATTTCCTGCTCATTTTCAGCATCTGTAAATCCTAGAGATTATGAGCTGTCTGGTAAAGCTATGCTCTTACCTCTCAATTGGCTACTGTGGAAACAGCAATTACAAATTAGATTTCATCATGCTTAAAAATAATCCTTTTTTCCCTCTGATCTAAGGTTACCAGTCTTAAAAGAAGGCAGCAGACAATTAGAAATTAAGGAAAGAGGCTTACACACTCCACTCCTCCTGCCCAGGCATTGCTTCTTGGCTCCAATGGCATCAATAGTAGCTTTGCTGGTGGATTCAGCTGAACCTCACAAGTTTTTCATAACTTCCATATGGATCTGAATCTCCCTAACAGCCAGAAACTCTCAACAATGCAGTGCATTTCTGGAAGAAAAAATTAAAAATTAATGTCTCCATTGTGCTCCTGCTATGGCAGCCAGAAGAGCAGAGCCACTTGAAGGAAGTGCAGCTTGCCCAAGGGCCCAAAGAGCTGAACTGCTCCAAACCAAAGCAGGCCTCGGGCAGTTCTGCATGCAACACTGAATTATGGTCTGTTACCTCATCTTTGGGTTTGGTTTTCAAGTTAATCTAATTTAAAAAACCATACCAATTCTCTCCTCCCAGCTACAGGCAGCAAAAGTGAGGGGCACAAATGAGATGACTGCTTTGGTCTCTGGTGTTAGCAGGCTGAGGAGGCTCAGTTACGTCTTAAGATACTGCAATTCCCTTCTGCTCTTCCAGACACTTTTCTTTCCTAAAACACCAAAAAACCCAAGTTTGTAAATAGCTTCAAAGAACAAAACAATTTTAAACTATAATTTATACTTGCATTTTGATAAGTGCATGCAAGCCCATTCCTTTATTAATAGTATTTTATCTTTTACAATTTAAAGTTTTGGAAAATGAAATAGCAATTACTTTTTCAGAAATATTTCTGTATGGAGCAGTCTGACAAAATACAAGGCTTCAGGCAGATATTCTGCATCCATCAAAAGAAATTTGAAGACAGAAAGAATTTCATATATTTGCAATCAGATCATTGAAGGTGACTCTTGTTAGGAACTTTTAGATGGAACTGCCTATTGCTGCTTTGTTTTCTGTCTGCACATTTGAAAGAGCACTTTAGAAAAAAAAAGTGCATTACAGTTACACCCTACTAATTTTTAAGGAAGAGAACATGGGTGCTCTTTGGACTGGTTCCAGAGAACAACAAAAGTTTGAGAACAAAAACCGAAAAAGCACTTCAGGAGAAAATACTTCCAACTCTTGAAAAGTACAAGTGGTGGTAAGATTGCCATATTATATTTTAAATTACAAATCCTGGTCTTTAATACCCTGGCAGCCAAAATAAGAACTAATATCATCAGTGGGAATCCAAGCAGAAAGAATAAGTGCTTAGACCAAGGCAAAAAAAGCAGAATGAGGAATGAAGCCTCATGATTTTATGTTGGGTGGTAGATTGCAAGTCAGCTATTTGAAATGATACTTTCTTTTTCCCTCTCTGCTAAAAACTTCCATGTACAATGTAGAGTCATGGCATTCCTAATGGCTGGACTACTCCTGGCTTTTACAGTATGAGAAAATTTTGCTTCCTTGTTCTTATTCCTAAGGCACGCTTAAATATGGACTCAAAATTTAACTTTACAACAAAAATATAAAGTTGTCTGAATCCTTACAACTTCCCTTCTTTACTAGATGTTTCATTTGAAAATTTGCCCTGTAAAATACAAAACGGCATTAAAAATTACCACCAGTTCCACATGGTACAAATTATTGAACAATATCTCCCTGCTTTATCAATAACAAGAACCAATTTAAAGACTAGTACAGGAAGTGTATAAAATTCTCTTTACAGACTGTGTGGTATGACAATGTCCTATTTCTTTTCAGAAGCTACCCACATCATTTAATCTCCACATCACCAAGAAAAAGGCAGTCTGATATTTGCTTATTTGTGCATCCTGGTTTGTTGACTCTTCTTAGCTAGAAAAAAACAAGGATGAGCACATTTCACATGTGAGTTTCATGTTCTGCAAGGAATGAAAGGTCAAAGGGTAGCAGGCAAAAGCTATTTGCCATTCAGTTCTAATTTCCCTCATAAATTATGAAACAATCCCTTATGCATTTCCATCTTTGATAGTCTTGTGGTATAAAGTGTAAGTCAATGGGTAAGCTAATTGCAATAAGCAGAAGTGGTATTTAATGCACTGGACACTTTCAACAGCAAAGTAGTTCTAATTAGTGTTTCTAACTGATGTGACAGCAGTTTACAGAGCACCAAAATAGTTCCTCATTTGTCAAGTGGGTCCGAAGCTTATGGCAGCTTTCTGATCATCTCCCTTGCCGCAGGACCTGAAAGCACCTTCAAAAAGCTTTCTCTCATTGATCTTTAGTCAGATGCTGACTGAAAAGCACACAGCTTTGCCAGAAAGAAGATAGATAGATAGATGCTGTACCAGCATGAAAATGTCACTTACTTAATGAAAAAGGGTACCTGTTCCCAGCCCCTCTCAATGCATGTATATGCACACACAAACACACAAGCCCAAACCCAGAGAGACAGTGAAAAGGAGTATTTTTATTAAGTTAAGCATTTGATATCTGTGGAAAGTACTGCCTGTATAAACTTACCACATCAGATCATATAAGGCATATCTTATACGCCTTATATGATATGTAAGGCATATATGACATCCCACAGTCTATGACTGAAATGCAGAGATATTCAAAATTTCATTAAGCAAACTCTTCCCTCTAGATTTTTCATTATTAGGCATGCAGTGCCTCAAGTGAGCTACATCATTAATTTCAAAATATCACCATTTACTTTCCTTGTCTATGATTTCTTCTACTGTGTCGATAGTTCAGTTATCATGCTGTTCTCTGAGGGCTGAGGGAGTAAATGATGGCATGTCAGGTAAAGAGCAAGTATTTGCTGAATACAGTGTCAAGAAAGTTCAGGACAGTTTTCTCTTTGTTGCACTTGTTTTATAGCCATCATTAAACTAAATATTGTGGTTAGTTATGGGATAAACTATAACATTTTCCTACATAGCTCAGACAACATTTAAAAGAGCCCATAAAAGCACTTATGAGACTTTAAAAATAGTTTTTAAATTCACTGCCAAGCAGGTTTGTCAAAAGCCACTCTTTACTGAAACACATGCACTACATAGCAGGAGCTGTGCTGATCTGTTACAAGCAGCATTTGATGGTACAATGTGTGTACCACAATCTTACTTGGATGCTGGAGATGCAGCACTCCCTGTGATGCGTGTTCCAAACATCTCCCAATTGCAAAATGAGAAGAGGATGCACAAAGAACTGTAACAAAACAGCTGAGTGGTATGCACATCCAGGCTGCCCATCTCTGCCCCACCACTGGCTTCTGACCAGGTACCTTAGGTTCTGGGGTTGTTCTGGCCATCAAACCTCTGGTGCTCTGCTGTGCTCCACCAGAAGCCCTTCTTTGCTAGGTCTGTTGTGACCAGCACTGAAAAGCCAGCAGATATTTCAGGAGTGCAAAGCAGAACCTCTACCAGTTCATTAAGGAAGATTTAGAATTGTTTTTGGCTCTGTGCCTTACTGAGGGATAGCCTGTTCCACTGCTCAGCCTATGTACTACCTTCAACTAAAAGCTAAATTGAAAATGCATTATTTGCACCACATAGGGGTTAAACCAGTAAGAAAGGAATAGTAATGGAAAAAGACTTTGTGGTTATTATTTTCCTTGAGAAAGAAAAGAAATCTTCACTACACATTTCATATTCAGATTGAATCCTGAAAGGGAACTATTTCCAGAGACAGAAGATTTAGTATCTAGAAATGGAGAACTAAAGAAACAAAAACCCTGCATTTTGTTTCAGCATACCCAGTAGTTTTACTTCAGCATTCTTTCAGTCCCAAAGGCATGGTGGAATAATGAGCTATTTGGCTGATGTCAACACTCCCTTCTCTGCAAGGGCTTATACCCAGCCTGAAGAAAACTAAAACAAAACACCCAAACAAACCCCATTGCTACTATGAAAGGCTTTGAAACAAGCATGACGGATACACAGGGATGACCAGCTGAGAATTAGGCTCACTGTTCTAGGAGGTGATGACTCCCTCCCTCTAAAGTCCATGTCTGTAGATATTCCATAGTTTTTAAATACTCAGTTTGACCAGCTGAAGCAACAGTGTCATTTCAAGTCAATCATGGAAGCTGCTGCTCACAAATCTCTCCTCTTGCAGGAGACCACAGCTCATAAAAATGTGTAGAAGGCGGTATCACTTAGTGCAGCACAGGCAATTAGGAATATGGAAGGGACTGGGTCAGAACACAAGTCAGAAATAATAGAGAGCATGCACTAATTGGAGAAGATTTTTATTTTATTAGTGCTTCTATGTCAAATTAGTCAATTGTCTTAGGCTACTTACCTTAGTGGGTGAGCTATGAATGCTGTGTGCCCTGCACAAAGCCATGTGCAGCTTTCCATCACACTCCCTGCATTTCCTTTTCTCTGCTTTCTGGCCTCAGGACTCTGCCTCTCTTGCAGTGCCTGTCTCCATCAGCCTAGTCACCTTTCAAAGCAGATGACCTAGTTCAAAAATGTAAAACAAATGCAAAAATATTTGACTAAGGCACTCACTGAGCCAAATCTTAGGTAGCAAACCCAACTGGCCTTACAGTCTGGCTTCACTGCAGTGCAAGGGAGGCAGTGCATCCTTAAATCCATAGTGCTGCAAAATATGCCTGTCCCCTAAATGTTCTATGATAAGAGACAAAATCAGTGAAATACTTCAATGAATGACAGCCCAATAGCCAAATTACAAGGCAAAAAATTGGTCTGAGCCAAGAGAGCATGGAACACCTAAACCACAGCACAGGTTCCCGAGAGAGGCAGAAGAGCTAGAAATGCAGTCTGTGGTTTACCAGTACAGAATTTGCATTTGCACTGGTTTGCTCTAATTTAAGGCATTTTCACACTGGGTTTCAGGCTAGGCAGAGGATTATCAGTGCCCCTTCTTCCCTTTGAAATTCTCATGCCAATTTTCTAAAAATGATCCAGAATACTACGCAGCTTTGTTTCGATTAAAAAACATTTCTGGAAAACTTGCTTTTGCATGGAACTGAACTCTCTGCTGCTCCTGTTTTGAAAGCTTTCAGTTTCCACTGCTCTTGCTTATCATTTCCCAAAAGACTTCGCATCACACAGGACAGAAGGAGCCAACACATCATTGTTCCACCATAGTTTAAAATATGGTATTGGAGAGACGCCTATGTCATGGGGTCACTCACAGAAGCACTGCTACACAACTTTTGTCTTGCATGCTTTGAAAACTGTTACTCTCCTTAGGTTTCTGGCTTCTTTTACAAGTCCCTGTCTTAATTATTGCTCATGTATTTTCATTTCTGTTATTTGATCCTCTTATTGATTTTCTCTGATGCCATTTTGTGTTGCCCTAGCAAGCCTTCCTATCCTTTTATCAACAAATTTCCTATACTTTCACACTAATTTTTTACTAAAAAATAGCTCTCTATTTTCTTTTGTAGGTCTAGATCTGTTATGAATATTAATAGCTTCTTGCAAGCTCTATTTGTGGGAGAGTGCTGGTCTTTGATCTGTGGCTTTTTCTTGAATACACTAGCATCTCTGCAATTGGGTTTGGGTCCCTTTTATGTTTTTCTGCCAGATTCCTTTCTTCGTTTCCATCTTTTGCTTTTATTGCAGAGTTAGAAGCTGTGGAAGACCTTTAAGCATTTTTCTTTATTAAGTAAGCCCTCTCACACTGGCACAGTCTATGGTGATTTCAGCCCTCATTGTGGACGATTTCTGTACATTCCCTAAAGGCATCAAGCCATTCAGGTGGGAGCATGTAATTTGTTTTGTACTGTAGAATTCCTGCCATGCCTATATGTATTTAGACCACAGGCAAACCAATAAAGTTGTCATAGAAACAAAGCATTTCATGAATAAATCAATTCATAACAAACTTGTAAACTTTGAAGAATCCACTGTGCTTTAACAACACATCTATTATATAGAAACACTAATCATGTTTGTAATGAATAACGTACACGTTCTACATGTGTCCATTTGTTTAGTCCTGTTGGGCATCTTATAAATATTAAGTCTTTCCTGTATGTTGTGCATGTCTCCACAGCAAGACAAGACTGAATTGGATGCTTGCATGATAATGTATCAGCAGGAATTTTTCTATTTCTTTTTTGATGTGCAAGGCAGAGGTTCAGTAAACTCTGAATGCCTTTTTTACATGTCAGTGAGGATTGAAAGTATCAGTGCAGTAATTCTTTTTCTAGTCACAGACAACTTAATAGAACTTCATCCACTCTTCATATAATTATGAAAAAAACCCCAAACAATGAGAGCCTGATAAAAGAAGCAGATAATATTGCTGAGAGATGATAATAGAAGAGTAAGTTCACAGGCTGAGAATAACCTACCTTCTTTTACTCCAGTTTGGTTTCACTGAAATACATGCATCTGTGGTGGAAATGCTGCTAGAACTGATAATAACACAGTATCAAATTTCACTTTCCACATCATGCTTCCACTAGCAGCTAGGTGAAATGGGTGCAAAATACTACATGACTGACACAGCACTCTGTTTGCCTGCGTGGGAATGGCCAGGCCAAACAGGATAGAGATTGTTTGGGTCTCAGTCTAACAGTCCCCTGATTTCAAAAGAATTGCCATGCAGTGAAGTAGTACTTGCTGTGAGTTGCACACGTGTTTGAACTCTCAGCTACCAATGCAAAGCCAATGGAGAGGTTTTCAAGCACACCTATGAGAAACATGAACAAGTGAAAGAAAAGGAGCACATGACACAGGGGAATAAGAGAAGTAACATATTATTAAAGAAAAATGGTTAGCATGCCAATTCAGAGACTGGGTACCTTCCCAGCAACAAACACACATGATGAAAACATGGGCCATACAAGGACTGCCTTGTGGGGCCCATTCATAGGGGTTCCCAAAGGCCAAAGCAGGTCCCTTCCCAGCACCAGACTTTATTTTCAGTCTCTGCAAAGGAAGGGCCAAGCTGAGGTTTCTGTTACAGTGAAACACCTGTCTGCCTTCTCCATGCAATAGGACGTGTGTAAAAAAGATATGGATAAGAGTCTTAAATATCTATCCCAGAAAACACATGCCTCAATAGCAAATCGCTAACATAAATTGGTAAATTTATTATATGTTGGTAGATATATAAGATATGTTATACATGGCACAAGAATCTGCCAGAGGCAAGATGGAGTCTCATCCTACTGATCCCAATAATTAAGCAGTAGGTGATTAGTTTAATATTGTTCTATAACCCATTAATATTATGTAAATTTGATCACAAATACCCTTCACTTTATAGCTACGTCTCACTTCACTGAAACAGCCAGGGAAACAAATTGGAGCAATATATTTTATAGCTACAAGTTCAAAAATGTCTCCTTTCTTTGCAAGTAATGTGCCTTTTCTAGTTCTCTAGAATATTCATTATTTGCTTTGACCTTAAGAAAATTCCAAGTATTTATTTTATTATATCAGGGATATTTACAGGAGACATGCATTCTAAAAAGAAAACTTCACAACACATTTAGGTGGCCTGTTTCTCTACAGAATTTTCACTTATTCACAATTGGAAGGCTGCAAATAAAGAACTTGGCTCACAGACATATGCTGCAGAATGGACAATATTTGTGTTGCCTATGCACAAGACAAAAGCTCTCAGTGAGTCAGTGCTGTCCAGGAATATGCTATAGGAATCACAGCTCAAAAGCAAAAATCACCCGCTTTCAAATTCACAAAGCCTTCTTTTAGCTACGTATTTTACAGATATGTTATTTCCATAGAAAAATGCATTACCCAGTAATTAGGTTCATTTATGGAATCAAATCAAGGCTGTCTACATTTCTGCTAGGTAATGTTCTTCACAAACAATCCTCTCTCCTGGCTCCCCTGATTATTTTATGATTCCTCTTGCTTCTTGTCAGTACAGATTAAAGGTAACACATACAGCTGGGAACAAACATAATTTTCCAGCAATAGCATTTTGTTTTCCTTAATAATTAACAAGTGCTGCTGACTAACCTTCCAGTATAAAATGTGCACCTTATGGAAAGGGAGTGGACACAGGTTAGAACAGCTCACTTGGGATATCCAAATAAGAAGTGTGATTAAAGCATTAAAGATTTAGAGGTTGACATTAAGGGATGAAAGGTGGAATTACTGTAAATATAAAACTGTTCAGCATTAAATGGAATGTGTTACACTTGAAACAGTCTTTCAAAGTGCTAACATTTTGGCATTAATTATTAATAGAAACTGACAGCTCATTTTTAATTTGAGCCTAATGACAAGGTTCCTTAAGAGATAAAAACAACACACTGGCTCAGAGGGTTTGTGGATCTTTTGAAAGGCTCTCTAGGTTGTCTAGACTTTAATCTGAAAATTCCTCAAAAAGTAACAGTCTCTGCATAGAGGTAAAGGAAAAAAAAACAACAATTCAGTGAGTACCAGCCTGCCTTCTCTTTGGGGACACCTGCCCCACATCAGCAGAGTGCCACTGGCAGCACTCCCCCTCTCTGCTACACATCCAGATGGGCATAGGAAAAATCTCAAGGGCGTACCACCAGCCTTTCATGGCCCCCTTCCCCACCATGTCCCCTTCCAAAGACAAGCTTTGGAAAATGTGTGTTTAGTTTTCTGAGTGCTTTTCCTATCAGACCAAAAACATCATATTCACCCATCACTAATCACTTAATGTCTTTAGAGCAACTACCCATCTTCTCTTCCTATTTGTCATAATTGAGTTATGTCACCAAAGCAATGAGTTTTAGGACCCAGTTCTGATCCCACCTCAGTCTCCATCACTCAGGAGTAAAGTCACTGCCATCAGTGATTAGGAGGACAAGACATACACCAAAAACAAAGTACAGGACCACAGGTCAGGCCAGGCAGAAGGACTGCTCTTTTGCATCACCTCCGTTGCTCCAAATAAACTTTTGAAGCATCAGCTGTCAGTAAAAATACCATTATATTTCTGCTATTAAAACTTGAATTATGATATTCAATGAAAAAATGTGGTTTAGATCTGAAATAGGATCTATTCAACAACATCTATATTACAGAAAGCATATTAAATCTTTTGTTTCTAGAAATACTTGTAGTAGCACTCAGCTGCTCCTTTGGGACACTACAACTCTCCTAGGGGTGTGAAGTTCTAAATAATCCATCAGAATGAGGGTCAAACGTAGCTCATTAGCTTTGGCAGGTGTAAAGGCTCATGGGTGACAGTGCACTTCCTTCCATCCACGCAAACAAATTGCAGCAAGGAGATTAAGTGAAGATATATTGCCATTGCATTCCTACAGGGGAGGTGGGACATGGGGGAAATGGAAAGAAAGTGGGTGGGGCAAGCAGTGGGCAAAATAAAAAGAAAGAAAACAAACACCAAACACATATCCAAACACATTTAGGATATGGATGAGAAAAATTCTCAGAAGAAAGCAGAAGGATCATGCTGATAGTTTTATCTGCTCTTACTGACACATTCAGAATTCCTCAGGGGCTGGAAAGAAACGAAGCAGTTTGCAAGCTGCACTTTCACTGCACACAAGCCTGTCTCACAATATGATAGGAATTAACTTGTGTCTACAAAAAGGCAATATTTGGCAAAGAAGGGCACTGAGGGCATGAGGCTGTCAAATTAAAGGACATTCAGAGAAGAAAAGCACTTGTATTCTGATTTAATTCCAGCATTGAGATACAGGAAGGGTAAATAAGGGTAATAAGGAGGAAGTAAGAGAAATCATTGCTTGAGAATAAACTATGATTTCACTGCAAAGC